TTTAGTTAATTAATTCATTTAAATCATTTAATTTTAATTATTTACATAAAAGTATAATTTGTTAATTTTGATAATTAATTAATTTACAATTTCTATGAGACAATATTTAAATTTTATTATTATATTACTTAAATTAATTAATATTTTTATTAAAGTGAAATTAGCTCATTAATTAGCAGATCACTAATTCTTCGGTTTTCATCCTTAATTCCCAGCTGTTCATTGACATGACAACTTTGATGTCAGCTTAAAGAGCATAACAAAGTAGTGTTAATAATGGAAATGGGAAATAAGAAGAATTAAAGAAAAATATACGTCATAATTCTACTCAACGCATACCTTAAAGGATATTTTTTTTCCCAATTTTGTTTGAATCTGTATTCTGCATGTCCAAGTTTTCTTTCATGGGGGAATTGAAACACAATGGGATGAATTGTCTCTTGAGTAGACAGATTAACAACGAGAAGTAGAGAGAAAAAGTGTACCCCTAGTATATATATATATTTTTTTTTGAAAGGCAAAAGAATATTAATATATTTATTTAATGAGTATAAGGGGTACTCAAATTCGTGTATACAAAAATCAACTTGTTACTTAAAAAGCCAACAACACTAAAGCAGCAAGGGTAGAACACCCAACAAAAAAAATAAAACCAACTTTCCAAGAAGACTAGTATTGATGACGCTTGTTTTGTAGTCCAGGAGTAGAAACTAATGATCACTTGTTTTTTTAATGTCAGTTTACAAAATAAGTATGACAAACTGTTCGTGGCATGGCAGAAATTCCTTTATGTTGTACATACCAAACTAATGATCACTATCAATGTTTACAGCAGTGCAGACTTGCTGCTTATGTGTATATACCAATTTTATTGGATAAATAGAACTTTACATTTTATTAACAAAAAAAAAAAAAAAAAGGGGAAATGTCTCGAGTAGAGTTTAGTTGATGGCAACTCTCCAGAGATAGATCCACACATTGAAAGTCCATAAGCAACTGTGCGTCTGCCATTTCCCAAAACAAATGAATTTCAAAGTGATTTACATACTCAAGCAATAGAAGGTACTCATCGACACACTGTCATTCTCCCAACTGACTGAAATTGAACCCCATGAAAGAACAACATTTTTTATCCAATAAATTTTCAAAAAAGAATATTTACTACAAGACTTTTTCCAATTGTAGTTTTACCATAAGACTTTAATTCGCTCACGGTGCAATTTAACAGAACAATAAAAAGTAAAATGACCATGCTTAAATGCTTAAGACTGGTAAAGAGGTCTAAGGGACATACCATAATCATTCTTTTCTCTTAAAGAAAGTGGCTTCCCACTTCCCAGTTGCTTTTTCCTTGTTAGCTGTTTCAAGGCTAATGTCCTACACATTCACAAATCAAACCCAATTGGAACAATTAACACCTAACAGACCCCCAATTAATGATTTGCGTTCTCATGGACAAATTAAAATATCATAACCATAATAAGTCCAGAAAATTAAGAAATATAAATAACATCAAATTCGAAAGTAGATTCCACAGTCCTGTTTCCACTTTTGTCTCCACAGCGTGAATCTTCTATAATCTCATCAGATTCTTCAAAGTTTAAATTCCAAATCTATTATAATTCCAAGCCTGCAACAGAGAGCACAATCCATATGCGAAATAACTTATGCAATGGGAGGTGTCCTGGTGCTGAATGGTAATGTAACGAACTTAATCGTTAGTAACAAAATGAAAATTATAAGTTTTCAAAGCACAAGCAATGTCAGAGAGGAAGGTATATACAATATCTATATCAGATGAGTAAGAATTAAATCTTACACAACTTGAGATAACTGACATTTGATGGACCTCTGAGACCTGAATGCATTTGCAACACTTAAGGAAGTTCATTTTTTACAATTGCATCTCCGTTTTATGCCTGGCAGAAACTGAAGTTCTATTATTTTCACCCAGCATGAGTAAATACAATATTAAAGAAGATAAAAATGCATGGAAGAACCTATTTTACAAATCAAAAAAGGTTCAACAACAACCTTTCTCATAGTTAAGTTGGAAGAACAAAGAAGTCATGCTATACCAGAATAAGTGGCAGAAAAAGATTGGTGTATTAAATGGTGAACTTCGATGCTACTCATAAATTGCATAATAGCTTAACTTTGCAAATAAACTCTAGCCCCAAAATCTGTGGTCTGGGTTGGGCTACCAAGCTATGATGCCTGCCTTCACCGTTTGAATCTTGTTTTATTTTCTGTTTCCTTGGTTTTACGAAAGAAACGTCTCATCCGTGGGGGTTGTGATGTTGGTAATTGCTCATTATCACCATACATTCTGCAGGAACTGGATAAAGAAAAATAATCAAAATCCAAACTTGTCATGTGCAGGTGCAGCAGCTTAGGAATTTACAGAGGTAATACAGCATTTGAATGGAGCAATTATTAAGATAACGTTTTAAAACTTGAAATTGCATAATTTGATGGAAAAAGAAATCATGGAATCTAATCTTAATTTGCTTTTGAATGGTAATATGGTTTTAGTTGCTGCATACTATAAATTGAAAAAAGGATTAGCAGTAACTAAGAGATTGAACAAAAGGCAAATGTATAACTGAAATCAATCAGGAAAAGAGGGAATTAGAAAAGGTGATATAAAAAGGTTGAGGTATGACATGATATAATGTATTGTTAAAGACTGAAGATACCTCAATGGGAGCTCCGTGGAATCGAATCCATTGCCCCTCAATTATGATATCTGGAATGTGAGAAATGTTGTCGCATCCAGGACCGCTTCCTCCAGTGCGTCTTAATTTTAATTAGATAATTAATTAAATTAAATTAAATATTTATATTTTTAATTAAAATTAATTATAAAAAATATATTTATTATACTTTTATTTT